GGGAGGGAGCTGGTGGATCACGGGAAGATGATTATGAGATGAGAGGAGGGACGATCGCTGCCGTGCATATCGCCTCTCGTCGTCCTCCTCCTCCTCCTGGTACGACTCCTCCTCCTCTCCTCCTCCTCCTCCTCTGACCGTCTTGCAGCTCATCGACATGTCCTCTTCGGATCCTGACTGGCTCGTCCGCTCCAACGCTTGCAAGGCTCTCGCCCTGCTCTCCCGAAGCACGACAAGGCAGCGCTCAACGCCCTCCTGCTGCGGGTGAAGAGACGACGCGGCTCGCGTCCCCCCTCACTCGGCTGCTCCTCAGGCACAAGAGAAGGACTGGGCGGTGAGGAACTCGGCATACAAGGCGGTACTCACCTGCTCCCCTGCCCTCCTGCTCCTCCCCTCTGAAGCTCTACAGATGTCTACCCTTGGAGACGCACACAGAGACTGGGTGAAACTATCGTTCCTACCTCTGCCTCCTCCTCTCTTCTCCCCTCCCCGCCCCTCCCTTCCCCTCCTCTCCTCTCCTCTCCTCTGCTCCTGCCTTTGCTCTTCCTCGTTCTTCCTAACTTCATCTCAGACTGCCATCAAGGAGATTCAGAGGATCATGAGCAGCTACGACGCCAGCAGCCTCCCAGCTGCCAAGCAAGCTCTCTTCGCCCTCTCTGTCGGACACAAGCCAACAGAGGACAGGAAGGTGTCGAAGCCTCCGTCTAGTGCCTCCAGGCGGAGCAGCGGGCAAAGCATGCGCGCCATGACAGCCAGATGAGCGCGAGCTTGAGGAGAGGAGGAGGAAGAGAAGGGCTGTAATGGAGGAGTACATGCAACATGTGACGTGAGAGCGGCGGGGGAGGAACGGGGTGTCATGGCCTGTTAGGCAAGAAAGGCGAGCAGCAGCTCAGGGCACTTTTTTCAATCTACACAAGTTCACACACACTTGCTCTCATCCTCACAGCTCCACCTTCTTCTCCTCGTTCTCGTACACAAACCAAGTCATCCAGCTCTCCTCCAGTGGCACCTCCTCCCCTTCGAACAAGTCAAGACTCGGCGCCAACGAGCTTACGGTGGCTATCGAGGGCTCACACAGCTGATCCTCAGTCGGCTCGAGCCCTACATGACTGTCGTCCGCACTGCTAGAGCTGCCTCTCTCCTCCACGTCCTCTGCGCTGCTAGGAATGACGTGGGAGTGAACCTCGCAACTCTCCTCGATCGAGCTGTGCATGCAGCTGACTTCGTTCATGCTCGGCATGGACGCACTCGTCTCTGTGAGATCAGAGTCTGTGGGGGAGGAAGCACCAGATCTGAGGCGGCTGCTACCCGATCTCATGTAAGGCCAGCGAGCGATCCCCAACCTCCTACACGCGCTCTTGAGACTCGTGAGCGAGATTCCCTGCGAGGTTGCCGCGTGAGTGAAGAACGAGCTCTAGTGCACCAGGAGGAGAAGAGCTCGGGGATGTGAGGAGGAGTCTTACCAGCATGTCCGCCACGTCCTCTTGTCTCATGTGGAACAGGGGCTGAGGAAAGTGTAGTTGAGATTCACGAATCGTGGGGTTCGTCCCGTTTCGTAGTTCTTGGAGCGCGCTCGGATGCTGACAGAGTCAACCTGGACCGGGAGTAGAGGAGGGAAGGAAGGGGAGGAAGCTGGTGAAGTCATGGCAAGGGGGGCAACAGGAGGAAGCGGGGGAAGATCAGGAGATACAAGGACCGGGGACGCAGCTAGTCGGAGGCGGGAAGGACTGATACGGTAGTAAAGTGAAGGCTCCGGTGCACAGAGTTGCCACCTAGGGGTGGGGTGGTAATGAAGGGGTAGTATTGAGGAGGGATGCACCGGTGCTCAGTACTTCGAAAGTGAACTTTGGGGGGGCGGGGGGTTACCCATAAAAATCATGAAAAATTGAGGAGGCAAAAGAGGGGGGGGGGGGTCCCGTGTAGGAAAGGAACGGAGGGGTAGGAGGTAGGGTACAGAAAGGTGTAGGTGAGAGGGCGTAAAATCCTATTGGACCGGGTGTATTTAAACCTATTGAGTGGGAGGTATGGGGGTGGGGGTACACGTGAGGCTCAAATCGAAGGAGGCACCATCAAATCAAGAGTGGGTGGGGTGGGTGATGGTTCTATGGGGTGGGTGGTGTCAGGAGTCGTAAGGGAATGAAGGTACCAAAAGGGCACAACGGTCAACATAACCGTCAGACAAGACCGTAGAAGCTACAATGTAACGGTTGTAACGACCATTTTACCCCTACAAACTACCGCCCATTGTGGGGAGTCACGGCCCACCGGAAATGTTGATCAAGGGGGTAGGGGTACTGGAGTCACAGAGCTGCGAGTGGGATGGGGTGGGGTCAGTATTCTCTCTAGGCCTCGTCTTAGAAAGGCCTACCGTACGCCATGGGGGTCATAGGGAAGCTCACAGCAAGAGGCTTCAAGGGGGTGAGGGTCCTAGCGACCGGTGAGGCGAGTCAGTCACGGGCCCCCGGGTTGAGGTCACGTGGGTCTCGCCGGTGGGCGGAGGTTGCTCCTTCAGTGCGGCTGCTCAGCTGCCTCAAGCGTCGGATCATCGGACCCCTCCCGATGACTAGTTCAAGATATGCAAGGACAGGGTGGGGTATCGATAATCTTGATCTTGGTCACAGACTTGGGTCACAACTCGGGACTTGAAGAGGTCGCCCGGTGGCTCTCGAGCCTCAAGAGCCTCAAGTTGCGTTGCCATCGCATCAGAAATAGCCTCCGACTGCCGGCGACTCCGGCCATCGGCTGGGCCTAAGGCTGCCAGGCGGGCCCGGGGCTCGGATTTACCGTACTGAGGGCTGCGGAATCGGCCCCGGGGGCGGATCATCTGTCAATCCGGCATATCCGGCCGGGTTCAACGGTTCCGGCGGACAGCACCGTCTTGTCTTCCGACTCTCACCGGAACTCGGAAGTTCAAGCATTGAACGGACTCCTGTACAGTAGTACTGGCAGCCTGCAGGGGCCGCCTCCGAAGTTCCGTTCACTGAGGCCCAGCACCGTACTCCAAGCACCGTGGCACCGTGTGCAGTGACTGCTGAGGCACCCGGGATATGATCTGCGTAGATCGCCGCATCTCAGAGCCTCGCCGGCTCGGATCGCCGGGACCGTACGGCCACCGTCACCGGGCTGGCCCCGCCGCCGGCACGGCCGGCCCCGGGGCTCACTGGCAGCCTGAGTCACCGGGCCACTGACTCACCGACTACAGTTGACTCAGGCTGAACTTTGAGGCTCATCGGATTCCTGAGGCCTCAGCACGTCACGGCGAATCACTCAGTGTCACAGGGTCGGGCCTTTACTGTGGAGGTCAACAAGTCCCGCCGTGCCGGTAAGTTATCTGGCGTCCAGAGAGCAAACGTAATCTGTGAGAGCTTGAAGCTGATCCGGGTTGAGATCCTAGAGACCAAGGTCAACCACAAGGAAGCGCTTGAGCAGATACTGACATGCTCCACAGCAGCAGGTGGGCTGATCGGCTTCACATAGTTGCCAGAGATCTCCCAGTTCTTGCCCTTGCAGACTGCGAGCACGGAGTAAGGCTTTCAGGGCAAACTCAGGGCTGGGCTCTTACGGCTCTGGGCCTCGGCCTCACTCATTCCCAGGAGGGAGGAGCATGACTGGAGCGAGATGGAGCTGTGGCTCCTGGAGATGAGGAGCAGCTTCTTCTCGCGCAGCCTCTCTGCACCAGCCATCACCTGCGCGACGAGCAAGACAAGGGAAGAGGGGGAGGGAGGAGGGAGGAGGGAAGAGGGGGAGGGAGGAGGGAGGAGGGAAGAGGGGGAGGGAGGAGGGAGGAGGGCGAGAGCTCTGGAGACTGACCGAGCAGGAGCTTCATCAACTCGCCCAGGTTGCTCTGTGACCACTTGGGGTCCAGGATGTGGGAGAAGGCGGAAGGGTCTTGCTTCCATAACAGCCGAGCGATCTTCCACAGCTCGATGAGCTCCGGGTCCTGCTTGACGGCATCCGGCATGCGCTCCCACAACCACCTTGCGTTCACTCTGTTGAACGGGCAGGTCAGCAAAGAGGAGAGGGCCGGGAGCAAGGGATACAGGTCATTCACGACATAACATAATAGCTGTACACGATAAAACGGCAACACCTGCGCCGGCTCCCACTGACCCACGTGCTGCCAAGGCAAGAAATGTAAGAGCGACTCGCAGCTCCCTCTGACCGCATACCTCGAGCTCGAGCTCTTCACAGATCTTCAATGCTCCATCCACATCGCGCGTTGAGAGGCAAGACTGCAGAGCTGCTTGTTTGCTTCCTACCATACCAGAGCTCACTTGCATACCCTGGGTGAACGACGACCCGTCAGGAGCAGAAGGTTTGCAGAAGGCAGCATCGCTTCAGTATGACAAAGGCGACTCCTCAAGTTACAGAATCTGGAAGTTCAGACTTGTGTCCTTCGATCTCCCTGACAACATCGCTGCTCCCACATTCTTGTTTCTCCCCTCCTATTCACTCACTCCGTCCTCATGAGGATGCACCTCCTCACCTGCACCTCGTAGTTCTCATGCTTCTTGGATGAACACTATCTATGCGTTCAATCTTTCTTCCTCTCATGCTGAACTCCTCTCACACTCCATAGCGCTGCTTCAGGTACATTTCCATTGTCTGCTAAGGTGAACCACCTGCTGCTGCTGCTGCTGTTGCTGCTGCTGCACCTCTGGCCCTGCCTCCCTTGCTCCTGCTCCTGCGCCTGCTCCTCCTGCTCCTGCTCCTCCTGCTCCTGCTCCTCCTGCTCCTCCTCATCCTCCTCCATCCCCTCCTTTGCCAGCATCTTCGCATGCCTGCAGCTGACTCAAATTTGTTAACCGCAGTGGATGGCTGACCACCGACATTCCCCTTGCAATGCCTCCGCTGCCTCGGAAGGGACATGCAGCAGCAGGAGGACGAGGACGAGGACGAGGACGACAAGGAGGAAACTCAAGAGACTTGAAGAGGATGGAGCGAGACCAACAGGGAGGCTGAGGGGAGGATATCGCAAGCGCCTTCATCCAAGGACTTCAGCAGCATGGAGGCAAGGACAGCCCTTGCCGTCGTGATCGGTTTCTTGTGGGGGGCCATGGCGGTCATAGCGCTGCAAGGTATCAGTTCGTCCATGTCCTGACTCATCTGCTGTCTAACTCAGTTCCAAGGCATGTATGTTGCCAAACAGCTTCCGCAGGAAGCCTCCGAAGCCATCGAGGAGGCATGGCGTTGTGGCGTGACATGTACTAGGATGATTTGATGACAGGTGTTGATGATGGGACCTGCTGTCGTCGTCGGTCTTCTTCTCCTTGTTTTCTTTTCGATGTCTTGCATGAGCGCCAGCGACGCTCTGAGATCGAAGTGAGAATCTCCGTGTGGGGAAGTCTACTACTGACGATCTGTTTGGGAAGGTGTTCCTTGCATGGAGACATTGCCGGGCTAACAATGATGGTGACTGCCATCAAGACGTCTCTTGCAACTTGAGCTGAAAGCTGAAGCTCAGATGCTCATCCAAGCTTTCACGCTGACTGTGATAGCGTTCAAGTTTCACTTCGTCTTGGTGTGTGCTCATCCTGCCGCTAAGGGGAGGCTGATTGTGGTTCTGTCAGGCTGGTTCGGAGCGAATGATCTCAGATGTCAGGACATCTCATCTGATGTGTTGATCATGACCATGACGGCAGCTGTGGGATCGAAACTGCTCCTGTCCTGCGAGCCTCCAGTGCTCTTCTTCTGCCGCATGCGTCGTGCCGAGCGAACTCAAGATGTGGGTGACCTGGAGTTCTTTGATGGTGTGAGGGGTCGGTTGATCTCCACCTTGTACTTCCTATCCCTTCCGTCCCTCCTTCGTCGTCCCGTTCCTCTTCACGTCTTGTATCTTCTGACCATCCCTGTCTTGTCATGTTTGGCCCCCACTTCATGTCTTACGGGTGTACTTACGCGATCGCCACATCTTTGGTCGGTCGTTCTCGCATACATCCAACATTCATGTGCAATGTCGGTCGAGGAGGCGAACCTGTTTGTCGTCATTCCTCTGGAAGATTCGCACGCACATCTGACGTGAGAAACTGACGACCTGACTGGTTTTGGTCCCCCAGGCCTCTCAGTGTCCCGAAGAATCCTTGCAAGCCCTGCAAGAACTTCTTCATCGATCTTGTTTGCACCCTCAACACCAACCGAACAGCAGAGGGCTGTCTTCCGAGCGTGGATGACATGATCTTGTGGAGGCTGGAGGTGCCGACTTCCTACTACCTGTGTGTTGACTCGAATGATGTCTTTTTTCTCAGCTCATCGTCCTCTTGATCGGCACGAGCATCGCCTGCGAGCTCGTCTGCTGCATTCGATGCGTCTGGCGAGTCTTTGAGTCTCCATCCCACGTCTTGACTCGCTGACTCTGCTTCCAGCGACCTCAAGAAGCGAAGGCGGCGGGAAGCGGAGGAGGTGGAGGAAGAGTCACTTCTAGCCCAGGTCTGCATCTTACCTGCTCTTGCTCCTCCTCGTCTCACTTAGTACGGCAGTACTACAACGATGAGGATAGTCTTCACGAGTACTGAGCATCTCAGACCTCTTCCTCCCACTCTCATTTCATGCGCTGAAGCTCCCTCTCATACCTTCGTGTACCAATATGGTCCTGTACATTGTCGTCTCTCGTCGTGCTGTGTCTCTAAGTGAACAGCGTGTACATATCAGTTTGTTGTAATCTGAACTCAGCTTAAAGAGCAATACCAAGATTGATCTTCTTCATTAAACCATCATGTTACTGCTAGAATGAAAATCTAATTTGAAAGAATGAGGAAAATAGATACGTGAATCACTTGGCTTGCTCGGCCCTCTCCTATTGATTTTTGTTAGTATGTCACGACTGATTAGTCGGAGTTTTGCTCACCTTGAGCACGGATGCAGGAGGTTTTGCATACTTGTCAAGGTTCTGTAACCCCATAAGTGAGAGGACGAGGACGAGGACGAGGACGAGGACGAGGACGAGGACGAGGAAGAGGAAGACGACTGATGAAGGAAGACGACTGATGAAGGAAGACGGGGGAGAGGAAAGTCACCTTGAGGATCGCCTTGTTTCCAATGTCCGGATCAGTGCAGGTCGGCGTGAGGCTGCCGGGAGGGGAGGGAAAGTGAGGTGAGGTCTCAACAGAGAGGTCGACCCACCTGTAGGGGAAGACGTCGCACGACTTCCTCTGGATCTGAAGGACCTTAGGGGCGATGTCGTTGGAAGGATCGGCTGCGCCCTGTCAAGAGGAGGGGGAGAGGGTTTGTAGGAGTCCTCACCGGCAGTTGGAACCTTCTTGGTCGCCTCGGGGGTTGCGGTGGAAGCGACAGGAGCAGGAGGAGAGTCTGACTTCATGTCCTTGATCGAGCCCGACCCGAAGAGCGGGAGGAAGATGGCAGAGACGGCCCCGAAGATCAGGATCAACGCTGGGTACTGGAGGATGGGAGGGAGTTTGAGGATGGGCTGGAGGGCGTTGATCGCTGGCTCGAACATGCTGGGACCAGATGGCTGCTGCTCTCTGGCTGCAAGGAGCTCGTCATGAAGCAGCATCGAGGCTCCCGACCTTCACCTTGTGCCGCTTCCTCCTGCTGCAGGTAGTCGCTCGCGAACTTCACCTTCACGCCAGCCTGTTCGGCGAGCTTGATGAGCTCCTCCTTGGAGATCTCGACTGTGCTGCCGTTGTCTTCAGTCGGTGACTCTTGGTTCTCAGAGCTGCGGAGGAAAGTTCTTTTTTTCATGTCCCCGAACGAACAAGCCTTCCTCTGCAGGCAGGACGAGAGGGCAACATGGCGGTTGTTAGACCCCAGAGACAGTCCTGCTCATGGGGTGACCAAGAGAGAGGACGAGGAGTGCGATCATGATATCACCTGCATGTTGAAACGCAGAGACACAGCCCAGAGAGGCGAGGACGAGAACCTGCACACCGAATCAGTTGACAACTTCGATTCCCGTACTCGCAGTGGGTGCAGCTGGTGTGGAGCATGACACAGTAGAGTGTGCCAGCAGCAACAGACTTCAAGTCATCGCGAGACAGAAAACGAAGGCTCGTCAAGGACTTGACATCCCTCGACTGGCCTCAGCTCTACCTTCCTGTCCTACGACCTATGTCGGAAAGCTCCACGAATACCTCGGCTGCTCGGTACCCTTAAGAAAGCAGCAGCATTTCATCTCTCTTACTGCCCTCCCGTCTTCTTCTACCTCTTCCTCTCCGTATGTTCATCCTTCCTCCTCCTCCACCTCCTCCTCCACCTCCTCCACCTCCGCGATCGCCACGTACCGCCCGCAAGGCCATGGAAACTTGTCACCTGAAGACGGTGCAGGGAAAGCAGGGGGATGAGGGCTCATAGTATTTTATGAGGGCGATGATTTGGGTATGAAGGGGATGAGGAGAATGAGGGGGATGAGGGGGATGAAGGGGCCAGGGGATCGGGGCGATGGTGGAGCGGGTTCCGATGGGGATGTTCCTCGTTATGGTGGACCCGGAGAGCAAGGGGGAGAAGCTGCTGGGTAAGTATGCACATGGCAGACCTACTCTCCTCCTCCTCCTCCTCCTCCTCCTCCTCCTCCTTCCATTACTCCACACTTCCCGCCTCCCTCCCTCCCTTCTCGTGTCCTCTTCGCTACCTCGTTCGCTCCCCATCGCCCCTCTCTCCCTCGTATCCTGTGACATTCCCGTCGTTTCCTCCTGGCCTCTCCTGATCCTGCCCTGTCTGAGACTTTCCTCTGTTGGACAGGTGTAGCTGCCATGGCGCCATACTTCATTGTCTGCGCGTTGGTAACGGTACTACATGACCTACTACTCCAACTGGTAGGGAAGCGCTAACGCCATTTCCAGCTCATCGCTAGGTGCAGGGAGCTGGTGGTGTGCTTCTGGTTGCTGGGGCACATTCTCAACGAGGCTCTAAACTTCTTCCTCAAGCGTCTCTTCAAGGAGCAACGCCCGCCTGGCGCCCCAGGTGATGGAGCGTGCGGGAGTTGACCGTCAGGAGTGACCCGGAGTGGCAGCGGTGGGTTTTGACGGGCATGGGATGCCGTCGGCGCACTCTCAGTTCATGGGCTTCTACCTTGTTTTCTCCGCAGCCGTCATCCTCCTGCGGATCAAGAACGTCTCGATGGTGTACAAGCTGCTACCCATCGCCTTCAACCTGCTCCTCTCCGGCGCTGTTGTCTTCGGCAGGGTGCACTTGGGTAGGAAGAAGGTGAAGGAGTTGTGGGAGTGATGGAGAGCCGCAGGCTTCCACACGGAGGCGCAGGTGATCGTCGGTCTGTGCGTTGGTGTCCTCTTCGGGGGCTGCTACTACACTCTCCTCCACTTCCTCATCTTCCCGCGTTTCTCGGACATGGCGGCATGGGGGATCTCAAGGTTCCTGATGCTGAGAGACTGCAAACGTGATCTCCTCGTCTGCCAGCTGCGAGTCTTTCCTGAGAGTATCTTGCAGATGTTGACAACGTCATTCAGAGCGAGTACGACTTCTACACGTCGAGGAAGCGCAAGTCTGCTTGACGGCAGGGCACTGACATTGAGTTGACAGGCAGAAGAAGAGAGGGTAGTGCAAGGACTCAGATTACAACGCATTCCATCCCACAGCCTTCGTCCTTGCTCCCTCCTCCCTCCTCCCTCCTCTGTAGGACCATTGTCCCTCGTTCTCCACCCTCCTCTCACAAAATCTCAAGATCAACGTGTCTGATCTCAGGGAGCTCTCGCCGGATCATGCCCTGCAGCACACCCACGTCAATCTCTCCCTTGAAGCTTCCTCCTCTCCCCAGCTCACCTCCAGCCGGTCCACCTCGTCTCCGATCTGCGCCAGCATCTCGGTGCTGTACGTCAGCATGACATTCTCCACCTCGGTGGGGGAGAGGTTGGACTGTAGCGACTGCAAGCACCTCCTGCACCGCTGGATCGATCGTCGTGCGAGAGTCTTGGCGTCGAAGTTGATCTCGGCCTTGAAGCGCCCGCGGTCTGCCCCGATGATGATGGCCTTCACGTCGTGGACCGACGACACCACAGGGTCGTTCTCGAGCATCTCGATCACCCTGGAGATCCGCTTCTCGGGCAGCGCCGAGCCCACGAGGAGGTTTCTGAGAGGAGTTGAGGGGAGAGGAGGAAGAAGAGGATGGGGGATGGGAAGGTTGGGATGGTGGCGGTGGAAGAGGGCGGAGGTAGCGAGAAGGGGAGGAGGAGGGGAGGGGAAGGAGGGAGAGGAGGGAGGGGAGGGAGGAATCTTTACCGGTTCTTGCGAATGAGGATGATGGCCACGAAACCGAGAAGGCTGAGCCTCTGAGTCAGATGGCAGGGAGGGACATGGGGGGAGAGCAGAGAGGTGAGAAAGCGAAACAAGAGCGAGGTGGGGGGGGAGGGGGGGGGGAAGCTTGTTATTCACCTCCCGATGGCGATGGAGCCAAAGGAGTCAAACAAGGGGTTGCCAGTGAGCTGACAGATGTCAGAGTAGCAGCACCAACAAAGTTTGAAGCTCATCAGACCTGGGAAGCGTAGAGACAGGAGGCGGCGATGCCGCATCCTCCGACCTGAGCGCGATCTCATCACTTGCTCTCCCCCAAAGCACTAGGAGGAGCTCACCGCAACCCCGTCTTCCATGAGGACAGCCACATTCATCGCGTCCGAGCCTGAGGAGGGGAGGAGAGGGGAGGGGAGAGAGTCGACGAGGCGTCAAGGAGCAAAGGGAGAGAGAGGCATCGGACCTTCGAGGATGTACTCGCGGAGAGTGAGGTTCGCTTTCTTCGCCTCCATCCGGCACTCCTTCACGGCAATCCAAAAACTGTCTGAGCGTCAGGAGCGGAAGCAGATGCAACTCCTCTGCCTAGCGCTGCTCCTCTCCTAACGTACCTGTATCCTTCAACAACGAAAGCGATGCCGAGGACCCCCATGCCGATCTAAGAGGTCGACAGTCAGAATCAGCCAAGTGGAGAAACGAGGAATGAGGCAGTGGAGCAGCAGCAGCAGCAGCAGTAAAGAACCTGGAAGTTCTCGATCTCATGAGGCTGGAGGAGGCCCGAGATGCCTATGGCTCAGCAGGTGAGGAGAGAAGGGCTCGGGAGAGCACAAGGACCGTGGTAGACTGAAACTCCGCATCCGAGAAAGAAGATGCCGACGCCGGAGATAAGGGACCAGACGTATCTGCTCGCTCCCTCAGCCTCAGCCTCCGAGGCCACTTGACTTGCCTGTCCGTCGCGTACCCGTAAGGATGAGAAGCATCCGCTTCTCTCAGAGACTGTAGGGCTCGTCAGATCTGAGATGCCTTGTGCTCCTGTCCCCTAGTTGCCCCCGAGCTCCCCCGCCCCTCCCTTATGCATCCTCCTCCCTCTGACCTGCGCGATTCCGACGGCGAGGAGGCACTGATTTCCAAAGTCCGCGATGGAGTGAACGCATTCAGAGAGAACTGCGTGGGAGGGAGCGGGTGACATAAGGAGACAAGAGGAGGAGAAACTTGACCCGAAGCCGATCCCGTGTAAACGAATGCCACAAGCTTGCTCACGAGAACGATCTGGGGACGACTTGACCTCACAGGAGAAGGAGAGGAGAGGGAGGCGGGCAGGAGAGTGGAGGAGAATCAGGTGCAAAGAGCGTTTCTCACCCCATTGGTAGCGATAGCCGTATGAACAGCGCGTCTGCCCACCACATCCGCAGATGCGTCGTACACCGGAACTCTGGGGGAACAAGCTCGTCAGGTGCAGCAGGAGAAGGTCAAACCCTCATCACCTGCCCAGTGCGGGATCCCAGGGAAGGTCCGAGAGGTCATAGCGGTTCACTCGACGCCGACGCCTGATCTCCCTCCTGAGCTGCTCTCTCCTGAACTCCTTCTCGCTTCCCCACCGCCGAAGACATGCTCGCTCGAGGTCCTCTACGTTGTACACGATCTTGTTCTCATGGGGAACGGGCTTCAGGCGTGCAAGGTCTTCCTCTAGCAGGAGGTACCTGCAGCCAACCTCACCACCTGCACCTGACAAGCGCTCTCCTCACCTCCTCTTGGCGACGACCTTTGGCATCGTGTCTCCTTCTCCCCTCGGCAACCCGAACTGGATGGGCTCGTCAAGGAAGTTGATGGAGGCGTCGGTAGGGATCTCGTCGTTGAAGCGTGACAGGGCCCTTGCGCGCACTTGGGGGCTCATTCGAGGAGGAAGCAGGCAGAGAGCGGGAAGACGCGATGGAGCAAAGAAAGGACGACATGGCAACCCAGGAGCTGAGGGGAAACTCCTGCTGCCCCAGTCCACCTGATTTCTATGAACAAACTTGACGAGGAAGGGCCGGGCAAGCGCCCCCCGGGCACTTGGGTTGTGATGCCAGATCGCCTGCACTCGCTGCAAACTTCGAGCGCCACCAGGCATATCAGCGAGCGAGCGAGGTTGTGCTCGTGCCCATGCTCGTGCTCGGTGGTGTCCTAAGGGAACAGCATCAAGACGTGGTCTGAGAGAACAACTCCATCCCAAACACAAAGAAAAGCTTATGCAAAGTCTCTAGAGGCACTCAGGAAACGGTACTTCCGTCTCCACACAAATCATATGATCATAGTCTATTGTCTCCATCTCTCGCTATCTCTTGCTCTTCCTCTCGCCCACGTCTTTGTCCAACCTGACCCTCGGATCCTCTCAGACCTTGAGCGTCTCTGAAGCATTTTCAACCTACCCTTCACCTTGGACTTCAATTTGACTCCTCCGTTTTGGTTTTGTCATGGCTCCTCAGCCCCTATATCATCTCCTCCTCTCCTCTCCTTCTCTCCTTCTCTCCTCTTCTCCCCTCCCCCCCCCCTCTTCTCTCCTCCTCTTCTCTCCTCCTCTCCTCCTCTATCCTCCTCTCCTCCTCTCCTCCTCTCCTCCCCTCCCCTCCCCTCCTCCTCTTCTCTCCTTCTCTCCTCTCCTCCTCTCCTCTCCTCTCCTCTCCTCTCCTCTCCTCTTCTCCTCTCCTCTTCTCCTCTCCTCTCCTCTCCTCTCCTCTCCTCTCCTCTCCTCCTCTCCTCTCTTCTCGCATTGCGGCTAACCAGCACATCCTACCAACGTCTCTAGTGAATAAGCCATGTTTATAGTCAATATTTCGTCCTGAATTTTGACTATAAAACTCTTTAATCAATATTTGAGGGTTTAGCACGACTGTAGTCAAAATTACCAGTGACGGCAACTTAAGTTCCGCCGGGCCCGCCGGGCCCAGGTTCTACGGTCACCGTGTGATTACACTGATGATGCCAGGCTTCGGACTCCGGTGAGAAATCAAACCCATGCCATGATGATTTCAGTTTCAAGTTTGCAAGGCTGCACAACTTGAACTTATAACCGTGAATGTCATAGACGGTAGACAGAATATGATCTACGAGATTGAGGTTGAGTAGAGTCGGGCTCAGTCCTTGCTGGCACATTGAACCGTACTCAGTGATCCTTGCAAAACACCGTGTACTGTACCCTGAGCCGCTGGCAGTGCCATGACCGGGCCCGGGCCGGCGGGGCCCGCCGCGGCCCGGCCGGCGTCGGGTTTCGCAGTGTTGAGCACGGCTGTAGTCAAACAGATGAGGAATGGTGTTCAGAGAGAACATTGAAGCGAACGAGGGAGGTGGAGGAGGAGGAGGAGGAGCGAGGATGGAGAGGAGGAGGAGTGAGGAGGAGGAGTGAGGAGGAGTGAGGAAGAAGAGTAAGGGATGAGACAAGATAAGGAGGAGGAGGATGCTAAGGAAGAGATAACTCGGTCGGAGCGGACAGTGATACAGCAAGCAGCATAAGGGAGAGACTGCATGGATGGGGTCATAGGGAGGACTTGATTCCTGTCACAAGGGGAGAGAAGAACGAAAGAGAGCTCGAGGATGCCTTTCTTGTCCCCGAGCAAGCTGATCAAACATGGGAAGAAGATGTTTCGACCGGGCGAGAGGGTCAACGGGGGGGCTACGGACAAGCTCGCTCACAAAGTTTCAACACGTCGTTCGTCATCGGACAACATGCTGGACGACATGGCAAGCAACAACAGGAGCCACGAGCTCACCTGGAACGAGTACGACAACGAGGACGAGCTGGACAACGAGTTCAGGGACAACGTCGGGGACGGGATCGTGGACGGGCACCTTACGTCGCTGGAGGAGGAAGTGTTGATAGGGAGCTTGCTGGACAGCGAGGACATCGGGCCAGCGGTTCGAGCAGTGTATGAGAGAGGAGCACAAACGTCGCTGCTCTCGTCCTTGGATGGGATTGTGGATCAGAAAGACGAGGAGATCCTGGGGCTCTGCGGGCAGGAAAGTGCGTTGGACTTCATCCGGTCCGTGGAGGCCATTGTGTCGATCAGGGACCATGCGCGACAAGTCGGCGACAGCATCGTCTCAGTCAATGACGAGCTGCAATCTGAGGTCCTCCTCCTCCTCCTCCTCCTCCTCCTCCTTCTCCTCCTCCTCCTCCTCCTCCTCCTGCTCCTGCTCTCATCGTCTTCTTCCTCATCCTCCTCCTCTCCTCCTGCTCCTGCTCCTGCTCCTGCTCTCATCGTCTTCTTCCTCATCCTTCTCTTCTCGCTCTCGTCCTCCTCCTGCCCCCCTCCCCCCTGCTTGTCATTCCCTGCCCCCCCTCACCTCGACCGCTAGCGTGTACCGCTGACTGCTGTCCTCATGGCAGGGGCGAGAGCTTCTGGCGGCGCAAGAGGAGGTGAAGAGGCTCGGGGTTGCGGTGAGGAACATCGACAACTCCTACGAGGCTCTTGCGGAGCTCCAGGGGGCCCTGCAGCTCATCTGCACTATCAAGGCAACCGTTGTCGCTTGTTGGCTCCCTCTCATCCCCTGCCTCCAGAGGTTCCTCGACCAGAAGAAGCTGCTCAGGGCGCTCAAGACCTTCCAGCAGCTGCAGGCAAGCAGTGAAAGTTTGTATCCACGTCCTCTGATCTGATCGCTTCCTCCCCCCCCCCTTCCACTTTGCTCTCCCTCTCCCCCTCCCCCTCCCATCCTCATTCACGCAGGCGATGCATGTGGCAGACATGCAGGCTCCTTCGTTCAGCCGACTGCTGGAGCGTCAGCTCCCCATCCAGGCGGAGAAGATGCGGACAAGCTGCCTGATGGAGTTCAACAAGTGGATCTCGCAGCTTCGCATGCTCGCACAGCCCGTGGGGAAGGCGGCGATGCAGGCTATGCAGGAGAGCAGCGTGCTAGAGGACGAGGCCCTGCAGCTGGCCAACCGCAACACGCAGGCAGCGCAGGTGGACGGGGAGGAGCCGGGAAGCATCCCTCGGCTCTCGCTCGCCGCCATGAGCAGCAGCGCTCGATCCTCCGGCCTCATCGACTTCCGTAAGGTCGGAGTGGACATGGGCTCACTGCTCCAGTGCCTGCACATCTTCCGAGAGCTCGGGCAGCTCCCCTCCCTCCGCTCCCACTTCCGCGACACTCGGAGGTCCCACGCCAGGATCGACCACCTTCCTCCCAAGGACTTCGTGCTCGACATCAGCGGTATGATGAAGTCTCTTTCCTCCCTCCTCCCTCCTTCACTGCCTCCCTCCCTCCTCTTCCTCCCTCCCTCCCTACTTCTATTCTTCTCTCCTTGCCTTCCCTCCCTCTCCTCCCGTGACTCTCCTCAATCTTCTCCATCTATCATTGTACCCCCTGCTCGCTCTCTCGCCATCCTCCTCTCTCCTGGGGCTCATCCGAGCTCCTCAGGCCTCTTCCGCCCCTTCCTCGAGAAGATCCTTGGCTTCTTCGTGCTGGAAGATGCCGTCTCCACCGCCTCCAACGGCGTCTTCCCTCGTGCTCAGTCTGACTACGAGTGGGCCGGCTGCGCTCTCCTGCTCTCCTCCTCCATCTCCCAGGAGTGCAGCAGGGTCAGGGAGTCAGCGACGTTCGTCGAGCTCCGAGCTCTCCTCCACCTCGTCTGCGGGTCCCTGGACAAGTGTGGGTACAGCACGCGCGCTCTCCGCGCCTCCTTGGAGAGCGTCCGCCCGCTCTACATCAAGCTGCTGCTGGTGCTGCTGGCGGAGGTCAGGGGAGGAGCTGACGGGGGTGCAGGAGGAGAGCAGGGAAGACGCGCGGCGAGTCATCGAGAACGACAGGTGAGGAAGGAGAGAGAGGAGATGGCGGGCGAGGCCGGACGCTGGAGATGAGGGGAGATGGTGGTGGGTAGAAGGCGGGGGAGGATGGGGGGGGCGGGGGAAAGGAGCTCGGAAGATGGAAGGGGTAGATGGAGAATGGAGAGAGCGCTGATCCGTTTGATCTTGGCAGCCATGATCCCCTCCGTGTTGAAAGCCCCACAGACTATGAGAGACTCGTTGTTGACCATCAGGTAAAAGAGGGAAGGGGATTGAGAAGGAGGAGGAGGAGCAGGAGGAGGAGGAGCAGGTCAATGACTGAGCGTTTGCTAGCTTACACACTTTGAGATGTCATCGGAGGAGAGCAAGGCGAGGTGAGTCATCAAAACCTTCTGAAGGCAGCGAGGAATCCTGACAAGGAAGCAGCAAGAAGTTCAAGACTGTTACCATGTCCTTCTCGCGCAGCGTTCCGAGACTTCTGCAGGTGTTTCTTGCTCCTCCTCTTCCTCCTACCAACTTCCAACCTCCTCCTCCTCCTCCTCCTCCTCCTCCTCCTCCTCCTCCTCCTCCTCCTTCCCATGACTCGTGTCAAGATCTGCAAGAACCTGGCTTTCGACCTGTCCTCCTTCACCGATCAAGCTGCGTCGGACCGTGAGACGGTCCTTGAAAGTATCTTTCTCTCCCCCCTCACCCTTCCATCTCTCCCTCCTCTCCCTCTTCCATCTTCCGTCTCCTCCTCCCTCCTCCTCCCTTCCCGCTGATCCCTCGCTCGAGCAGCGCTGGAGACGTTCCTCCGGGAGGTCCTCAGCGAGGAGATGACTCGTCCGCTTCATCCCTACATCGAGGCAGGTGCTGCCGTTCGTCGCTCCTCCTGACGCAGCCGGCAGATGCGAGGGGGGCAGAAAGTTCCGATCAATCTTGCACTGCAGATCTGCGTAAACACTGAGGTAAGGAAGGAGGAGGATCAGAAGGAAGAGGAGAAGGAGGAGGAGAAGGAGAAGGAGAAGGAGAAGGATGATGATGAGGAGGAGGAGCAGGAGCAGGAGGAGGAGGAGCAGGAGGAGTAGCAGCATCGTGACATTGGTGGCAGGTTGTTAGCCAAAGCTGCGAGCAGCTGATGAGCTACGTGGGCTCCCTCTACCTCCATCTCGCCCCGAGCGAGAAATCTGCAGTGGCTGGGATCAAAACGATCCAGCAGCGCGTAGAGCGATCCTCGGAGGCGTTTCAGCGAGCGAGGTGAGAGAAGGAGGAGGAGGAGGAGGAGGACAAGGAAGACGACAACGTGGAGGAGGAGGAGGATCAGGAGGAGGATGATCAGGAGGAGGAAGGGAACGACTGAGGGGTTGGGGGAGGAGCTGAAGTTCATTCCAGGAGCGGGGCGGAGGACCTTCTCTTCTCTGCCGTGATGGCCAAGGTGGTCGATGGGCGGGGCAGTGCGGACGTGGCTGACTGGGGGCAGGTGAACGAGATCATGGACCGAGGAGTCGCAGAGTTCGACTGGGCGCCGTCCTCGATGAAGCAGATGGACCAGCCCTCAGACTACATCCTAGACCTCGTCGCCTACCTCCGTGAGGATACCTCGATCCCTTGTCTCCTCTTTCTCCCCTCCCCCTCCCCCTCCCCCTCCCCCTATTCTCCCCCTCCTCTATTTCCGTCAGTTCCTTTGGTCTTGGTTGAGTTGAAAGCAGGATCTACTTTCTCCACCTTCATCTCTCTACCATCTCACGTTCGAGGTTGTGCTCTTCCTCCCCTCCGCCCTCCGCCACTTCCCTCTGCTCTCGTCCTCTCTCCTCTTCTCCTTTCCCTCCTCCTCCTCATCTCTCCATCACCCTGACTCTGCTCTAGAGGCCCTCCACTACAAGGCTTTCAACGCCATCGCTCAGCGTCTCTATCAGCAGCCTCTCAGCTCCAGGTAGCCTTCGCGTCTCCTCCTCGTGCTGAACCCCAGGAACAGCGTCAAGAAGATCTTCTTCAACGCCTTCCAGAAGCTTGACAAGGACCTGCATGCTCTTGAAGCCTTCGCAATCGAATCAAAGGTCTCATGAAAGCTGTTCCTGCTGTTGCTCCACCACCACCACCACCAACACCTCCTCCTCCTCCTCCTCCTCCTCCACCACCACCACCACCACCGACGACGACTACGACGATGACGATTATGGCGACCGCCAGCTGGTCCAGCTCCTCCTCGACCTCGTCCTCCCCCTCCTCATCCTCCTCATCCTCGTAGTACTCCTACCACTCCCACCTCCACTTCATGATAGCGGGGGTGGAGGAGCAGAATGAAGCACCACCATCCACCACCTTTTCCTCCTCCTCCTCTACATCAACATGGAAAACAGGATCTTCTGCTGCCTCCTCCACTGGTGCTGCTGCTACTTCTTTTGTAACGTCGGGGAGGCTTTTCTTCTGGTAGACTAGGACAAGTAGGAGTAATGAGAGGCGTCGACCGCCTTCTTCACGCTGCTGATGAGGAGGTGGAGCAGGAGCAGTTGGGAAGAAGCTGAAGCAGGGGCTGG